GTGGTGATCCAAGCCTCCAAGATAAAGCCAACCAAGTGGCTGGGCATCACAGTGTCTGGACAACGAATCGCAGACCTACAGTATCGATCAATCAAAGGCCATGCAATTCAAACGGAAGTCATTTAACTCAGAGAACAAGAATGGAAATTGATTGATGACCGTTTGCCCAAGGATAGATATTTCTATTTATATACTATTTAATACCACCGATTTTTGTCTATAAATAAACCGATACCTCTGTGGCCTTATTCTTGTTTCTCGGAGATGGGAGATTCTGACATACGATTGCCAGTGGGATTTCGTGTTTCATCTAAGATTGTGATTTGTTATTCGTGTATAATCGATGTACTACAGTTAGCTCCCGAACATTTCGTTAGTAGACATGGTAGCATTTCAAGCGGACCTTAAAATAAAGAATCTACCGGTGTCCATCTACTGCTTGTGCCAGTCGTTTGACCTCACAATTAACTAATTGCTATCCAGCAAAAGCCCCAATGTCATCAAACGGACACTGGATGAAAATGCTTCATTTAAATATTTGTTAAAACTGATATTACTTTGCTTGGTAAAACATGCAACTCTGAGAATTAAAGAACCCAAGCATTCATTCAGATTTTTCCCAGAAACCAGTTTTTATAGACTGATCAGTGCAGTGGACGTAAGTGAGTCATTCTGGTCGTTGACTGGGGTTGTTGAGAGCACAGGATTCAGTGACCTGTACAAGTCCAATAGATGAGCAATAAGGATCCAATGAAAAAATATCAAGTTATAATCCAGGTTGATTTATCGAATGACGAAATTACCACATGACATCATTATAATTCCTTACACTCAGTTTTCAAACGTTTACGTAGTCCCTCAGAGCACAGTTAAAACAGAAAATAGCGTATCGAATATAGCGTTACGAAACGTTATGAAATGGCATGATCAAGAAAAATCGTGAACGAGGTTGTTTGCTGCGTTGTGAAATTCGAATGTCTCAGTTACTGAAATTACTCTCATAAAACACGAAGGCGAGGAAACTGAGAAAAGTTGCATTGTTACGGGATATGAAATATCAACACGAAATAACTATGTGACTGGGCATCACCAAATTCACTTACTCATTGAATCTATTCTTTTTGTAGCAATCAGACGTGTGTCTTTCTCGTTCGTTTGTTCGGAAAAACATGGTGCAACGGCCATACTTTTGACGCTATTCAGAATCGAATATACGCGATCTGTCGTGCTAACTGGATCACCGTTCCCACCACCGCCACTGTGGATACCAGGATTGAGGAGACATTTACGTTGGATTAATTCCAATTCGCTGGGGGCCGGGGGAGTAAAATTAAGTCCTGTGAACGGAACGACAGTCCGGACACCGACGGGAATCTCGGATACAATAGTTGCTGCGGCTGCACTTGACGAGGTGAAATTGCCGAGCGCAGCAGTGTAGGCTGGCATGAGCGTGCTAGCTGAATCTGCGCCGAGCACCAACTGGTTTGGGTCAGACAACGTCAGAAGTGATTCATCACCCGGATCGAAATAGTCCTCAGAATTGGATGCCTCTTGAAGATAGTAGATTGATGGATTGAATGACATGGAATTTGATTGCCCGATCCCTTTGCATTCGATCTTCTTCTTACGTGCCCGAGCATTTTGAAACCACACCTGATACGGCAAGGTAAAGGAATTTCGATGGGCATCTTTACCAAGAAAGGCCACTAGTTGCTTCATTTTTTCTATATTTTAAGATACCGGTTTATGGTAAACGAGCTTAATGAATTCGTTTTCATTGTTTTATACTGCACTTAGATTTATCATCTTAATTTCATCTTATCAGAAAAAAGTCTAAAAAGATAGAATAAATAAATCATTCAGAAAAAATTATCAACTCTTAAGAATTTGAAACTACTGGGTACTTATAAATGTTGAAATACAAGACAACTGTTATCTATCTGTTTAAATAATAACTTCGCTTGATCTCTACAGTCCTCGATCGCATTTAATATGTCTACATTGATTATAATTAAACCAAACAACGATCTTCTTCATCCGGTCACGATAATGGAATCTTCCGTACATGAGACCGGTAGTAGGGATAACTAATCTCTCGAAGACAAGTTTTGCACACTGTAAACTTCATTTCAAACCGTCCTTTTCTCTAGATGAATGCATCACACGTTACCCCCAACCTGGGCTGCAGGTGTGGGATTCATCGCCGAGATGGCTGTCGCTCAGAAAATGACCCGTCAAAGAGACTTAGTGATTTAATCCACTAGCGTATGCCATGGGAATCCAATAACCGCTTCTTTGTTTGTGCAAGCTACTCACAGATTTGAGTAGTACCACACAACGCTAAAAGACTGTTTAGGTATTTGCCCACAACTGCTCAAAATTATCTTAAAAATATCCAAGATTGTTTTTATTATGGACCAAGATAACTAACCTGTTCGACTCGTTGCTTCTCATAGGGAGGGCATAGCATTTAATTCATAGACGGAAATTTACAAGTATTAAGATAAAATCCCGTGGAGATCACGTGATGTTATCAAACCTGAAGTTTTTTTCCTTCTTGTCATTCATGATCTGAATTAATGTTGATTTCACTGGTCGCATGGCATATTCCTGTTGTCTTTGTGAGTACCAGGTCGGTTTTTCGTGGTAGATTAATTGTGAACTAATAGCAAGTTGTTCCAAAAAGGTCTAGGTTCAAGCTTTAACTCATTGAATAGCTAGCTCTTTAAGGATTGGTTGGTTCAGTTATCTTATTTTAGAGAACTCATAATTCTCTACGGATCGCTGTACAAGATTCTTCATGAAACAGTTTGTTAACTGCGTAACCGGAGTGCTACTGAAGGATGGTTAATTCTCCTGCTGCTTTACGATATATGCAAAGACGGACTGTGGAAAACGTAAGTGATAATCTTTCCGTCGTTTATAAGTGGGGGGCACCGATAGTTAACTGCAACATACAACTGGCACAACCGAATACCTATCATCTTGATGAAAACAAACGACTCGGTGTAACCTATTCCAATTTTGTACTGCTCTGTCACAACTTTAACCGGTTATCTAGTATTTGAGCATGCAAGGTTATCAGTAAATGACTCTCAAAACATTCCTTTTTCTTTGATCAGAAGGTTGAGTTACGAAAAATACTAAAGAGGTTAGGTGAATAATTGCATTGAATACATAGTGGCGTATATTTTGCTAGCTGGTCGTTATTCTTCCATCCGATGCAACTTACTACAGGTATTGACCAAACTCGTGCAACATCCTGACTTTCATCACATTTGTTCCTTCCATCGCCTGTGGTTTCGAGCCTCATTCTCGGGATTGAATATGAAATTGCCCGACATAAGACGTAACATATCTGTACTACTATGTGTATTGACCAGAATAAACAAATTCATAAAACAATAATTATTTATGAGAATGGATAAATCTCTATGATGCTTTGTATAAAATATTTTTCAATTATGAGGTGTAACTTTTGAACAACTGCAAATTTCATCGCGACATTGAAGACCACACAAATTTCATCGGTGAGACAAGAAAAACAATTGCATCGGAATAAATGCTCTTCACCCATAGCTACTGATAAACACTTATGATTTTGGGAACCGAAATGTATTTCCAAAGTGAGAGTCATGTCGTACGAGTTCGATCTATACCTGAAGTTATATTATCAATACCCGTAATACTTTACAGTGAGAATTACCGGTCGTGTATTTGATTCAATCACTCTGATGACCAGGAATAAGGTAGCTTTAGAGTTTAGTGTACCGCAACTACCAACATAATTCTTATGATCTCTTCAGACTGAGGTACGGTGGCCACTTAAAATAAACGGTTACTACATACTTAATGTCTCCGAATCATACCTGTGTTACTCGTTTGTTCAAACGTGCGACATTTGCGATCCGCTCCAGCTCCTGACCATCTGGATTGGCCTCGATATCAAAATTGGCTTGAAGAATGGCTAACTGGTCCGGAGTGAAACTGGTTCGGATGCGTTTGGATTTTGANTGCACACTACATCCACTGCTTGTGCTGCTGTCTACCGAGTGCCCGGTTTCGGGTAAGACTGGTATAGTACAATCTGCGGGCACTTGTTGTGTGGACATGGATTCCCGAGTGACTACCGGCGTCTGTTCCCCAGCATCCGAATTGTACCATGTATCCACTGTCGTTGATGTTTCAGATTTGGCGCTCATTAGGACCGGTAGGGAGGACTCGGTGCGTGTCTGGGAACAATTTGTTGTAAAACTGGACTCGGGCTCAGAAGGTCTCAAACCCAGTAGATCGATATTAGTTATAGAGAAGCTCGGGTGATTTGATTCATTCGCCTTTAGATCAGGTTTATTAGGATTAGGGTTATCTGCATAAAAAATGGCACATGAAATTGAAATTCAATATTCATTTACTTAATAACCAGTCTTGTCATACAATGGCAGTGTTGATTAGTAGCAGTATCACGGGGTTTGGAACAACTTCATTTACCATGACGGTTATTTTGACCGCGGAAACTTGTGTTTTTGAATAAGTAGGATAAATGGTTTTTTGTTTGCATCAACGCTATATTAGGATTGTGAAGGAGCAGATAATTAGCTAATTTCGGGGCATTGTTGGACTCTGAACCGATATATTTCCATCTAAAAACTGCGTTTTTGTTCAGTTTGCCAATTATCGTCGACGTATTTATGATGATACAGAGATCCGAATTTACGCCACTCTGACGGGTACGAGCTATAGTTTCAGTTTGGCCAAATTTACCGCGGACCATTCAGAAATACTATGACTGAAAGAGCACCAGCGCTGCTTGATTGGTATCTACTGAATCAATGATGCTTTATTATATGTATTTCTTAATACGCTTGATTTCTTTCACGAAACTAACCGTGTCTTGCAATTTCCTATTCCTGCATATTCGTGTCAGTAAATTTCGGCAGCTGGTTGCAAGTGCAATCGCAATTACGATTACTTACATTCCAGCATTTCAATCTCTATCGCATTTATGTGCGTCGAAAACCTTTTCTTTTTGACTCCGGCCATTTCTTAACTCACCGAAAATTTTGTATTTGTAACTTGGCGAGATATGTTCAAACGAGTCAATTTTGTTAAATCAAACGTCAAGAGGCTTCTAAGATCCTATTTTGCAAGTAAGATGCTTGCCACCATCAACCATCTCGAGATTAAGATCGATTTTCAACGGTCTGTTATGATGATATTTACGAAGGACTCGACGAGGTTTCCTATAACGAGATCACTGTTCTCGTGAACCTTAGCACTTAAGATTTGGCCGATTTCAAATAACTCCGTCCCTCAGAAGCAAACGAGGGAATTGTGATAAACTTCACATAATATGCTCCAGTGTGTAAAACTGTTGATAGCGGAGTAATGGCGCATTCATATTGCCATGGGAAGCAGATCTAACTTTGATATTCCCATTTTCATCTAACTAGCTAGCTACCCATATATTAATTTATAAACAGTGTAACACATGGGTTGTTCATTAGTTGACTAAAATCGTGCTAATAACCATCTGAAATCATCAATTTTTCGACAAAGTCTTTCGGATTCTTCTTCACTTATCTTGTGGCATACACATTTATCATGATATCTACACGCAGTTGCCAATAGTAATTCTCACTCACCGTCGTGTTTACGCCAAATAAAAGTCATCTATGGGTAAAAGTATTTGTTCAAAATAATTCTGAAAGATAATTTTGTAAAAGTAAACAAAAATCGGTTTCATGTATAAAACATAAATATTTACAAAATAAACATGTGATGAAAATGCTGGTGACAACCGACAAAGAGCACTGAACAGCTGCTTCGTCCTGTTCAGGGCTCGACAGGACTCGAATGGCGAACTATCGGGTTGGGACTTCAAACCATTACCCCTGAGCTATACGGTCGACGGTCATCACCTTGTGCGAATGGCTCAATCCTGACAGGGACAGAAGAAGTACGCACTTCTGACGAGTCCCAAACAGGACGAAACAGCTATCCAGTACTCTTGGTAGGTTATCACAAACATTTCCATCGTATGTAAATGCATGAATCTGTGGGGAATTAACGATCTCCCAATGAGTGAAACCCACACCGAAGACCATCAAGAGTGCCTGGTGCCTCTTAACAATCGAATGGGATAAGAACAACAAAATAAACACCTTATGACAAATTCAACTGAATATGGACGATTGAGTTGTTTTTCCTTGAAAGCGTTTTCCAGATTATTACTATTTACTGGCTTTACCACTAGTTGGTATTTTCAAAGGCAAATTTTGAGTCAAGGTAAGTCAAGAAATATTTTATTTATCTTAATGGATATGTTTTCATCTCTTCGAGGAATTCGAGGCTTTTTGGGGAAGGGCGATGTCTTGCGATTTCATGCAATCAATGGTTATTTATAATCTATGACCATCCTTTAAATAACTAAAGCTTTAAAGCTGATCTACGTGTGCTATTCTGTTATGAAGCATTTGCATAAAGCTTACTTTGACTTGACTTGTCTTGCTTCAACCGGTTGTTTCTGGTTATATTGACTTAAGATTTATCAACCGATTGCTTTCTTCTTGTTATTACCGAACAATTAAACCGTTTTTTAGTCCCTATAAACAACTTTCGGTATCAGTGATTATCTTTCTGATATTTTCGATTTTTATTCCAACTTATGTTCAGATAAACCAATTCGGTTTTCTCATAGTGGGCACTTCTTACGTTCTGTTCCACTTTATTGACCACAATGAATGAAGCGTCTGCTCGTAACAAAAATACCCATAATATGAACATTTTAACCAGAATTTCCGCAGAACCAATGAAATATTTTTTATGACAGTTTTCTAGCTTAACTCCGATATATTAATTGGCATCTCTATATGAAGTTCTGATTAAGCCATAATCTACTTCAGTTGGGACGATAACAAAATGCATAAGCGCTTTTTCCTTGGTTTGAAAGCCACAAAAATCTTCGAAAGTATATTTGAATTGCAACTTATGTTGCATTTAAAACGGTCTATAACAAAACAAGAGGAATTATTTGCAGAAGACTCGCCACAACGGTTCATCAAAAGTCCGGTAAATTTGTTTTTCAATGAACCTATTATTTACTGATTGAACGACGGTTTTAGTTGTTCATTTGCATAAAGTGGCCTCTCAAATATTCTGAAGTGAAATAACCCCATAAATAATAGTGTCTTATGTTTTTCACTGCTTTGAATTTGTATACTCAACTAGCATAGCACCGGGAAATCAATCAAGCAGACAGACAGATGGTTGTTTTCAAGAGCCTGCCAGGTTGATCCAGGGACAGTTCCTTCTGACTTTTACCCCCACAGGATTTTGATTCATATCTGAAAGTTTGTATGTAATAGACGAGAAATATATCGTAATGCAAATTTGTGTATTCCGATTGCGCGGCTGGTTGATCGGACAGCAGACCTATGATCTTTGATAGTGAATTTAAAGGGTTAGTTTTGTATCATATTTTTTAGCACTACTTTACATACAAATTATTAATAGAGGGTAATATTATTTCATATAGTAATTATTCTTATTTTACTATCAGTCTTATCAAGTACATCATGTATTTCGCCATCCTACAAAGTGTTATGGACAAACCGTGAAAGCGAACTGAGAAGAAATTCCTTGATTGAGTTGCTGCTTTTATTTTGTTTGAGTTTACCAACTAGCTACTTGTGAGTAGTATAAACACTATCAGATAGCAGTCCGATGTTTGATTCATCGCAATCGCCTACCAGCAATTTTTCTTTCTGTGTTCAAGCTGTCTAGATCATGTTCCATCATTTCCTTCTGTTCTCCATCTCGTAAGTCATCTGATATTCGAATGGGCATGGTCTGGTTCGCTCGACTTTCCGGATCACTTCGCGAACACAAATCGACACCATTTACGGCGATCAAAAAGTGTTCCATGCACAGTAACCGATCCTCATGCAGACCACACCGATCCCCTTGGTGCAGTTGACGACCACAATGACTACAGATTAGGCAGGCAATGTGAAATGGGAGCCGGTCTAGTTTGTGTACCCATACGTCATTGGTCACTCGTAGACGACACCTGCCACAGTGAGTGAACCTGGTAAAATATGCAAACAAAAAGAAATACTAGACAAATCTCATTACGTGTGGTTTATTGGACTAAGAAATTACAACAGATTCAAATTAAAAGTGTACTACGCACAATAAATTCTGGTTTTAATGACCTAAAAACAGCCTTGTAGTTTTACGCCACTAATGAGTCTATTGTGAGAGCCTGTCCAAAATAAAAAGACATGAACAATGAATACAATTCTCTACTGACATCGCTGTGTTATTAACATTATAACATTCACAACGACACGCAATACATGGTGCATCGATTTTTTGATACACTCCCAACATAGGTTGGTCCTGATGTACTAAAAATAATAATAAAACACATTTGAATATTTAACTATTTGACACCCGAACATCAAAATCACCCAAGAACATCAATCAGATTCCTCGATTCTATCTGTGCACAGTAAAATCACTATAAAAGGATACGGATCCCTCATTTTGTTTATATCTTACAAATTAATCCCAACCGGAGAGTGAATCATTTTCAGAATCTCTTATCCCATTCAATTTAACTGAACCCTGGGGAAAGGTATCTTTTCCAGGAAAATTAAGATTTTTCTTCAACAAAAGATAGGTATGACTTCAATTTTGCATTCACTGAACTCCAGAATAATCTATATTTGGAAAAGGTCACTGTGCAAGCGTTAGGATGACCGAAACTAGGGTATAAAAAGCAGACTTAACGTTTGTTGCACTTTGTGGTTTGTTGACGATTTGGCGTTACAAACCAGAGTTCTTGGCTTGTTTAACCCTACCATGTTCAGGCTGTCACCATGGATTCGGTCACAGAGTTTGTCCTCCCCAGACAGTGATAATGGGGAAATGGAACTCATCGTGTTTGGCATTTGCCACTTTTGCATAATTCGCTAGTTAACCGATGGTGAACTGGTTATATATGTTTCCGCATTTGCTTGACTGTATTCTGCAATCAGAAATAAAATCTACCTGAATTATTCGTCTCGTGCATTCTAGACTAGTATTGCGTTCAGATAAAACAATGCTCAAGGAACAACATTTTCAAATTTCTATGCATGCTCAAAGAAGAATCCAACTGAGTGCAACGATATCGTTTGTAGATGAAATTGAAATCGAATGTGGGAAAAATTTGTTCTTATTTATACTCCTGAAAACATAAATTAGCATACTTTCACATCTTGGTGAAGTGCATTATGAGAAAAATTAATAGTTTTGACGGAAAGCGAAGTGTACTTAAAGATTATGATTGGACAACCAACCTCACCTGGTACGACAAGGGCGACAAATTACTCGATAATCCCGCACTTTCCAGCATCTTTTATCTGTCGGAGTCAAGCGACAACCGCACTCAAAACAGGCTAAACATTCGGTGTGGTAACAGTCAATTTTTCCCCATTCCATGGGTGGTTGATCAAGCACGGACCAACGCAGATCGTTCAGGGAATCTTGGCACTCGCGCAGAGGTCGACGATGTTCCGAATTCTCCAAACGGGACCATAATTTGGTTGTTTTTGCATCCAACTTCACGTCGAATCCGTTCACATCGGTGGTGATTAGGCTGTTCTGGTTCCAGCACGGCAGGAGTAGTAGCAAAGTTTTGTCTACAATCGGTCGAACACAACCACGACAAAGTGGGACGGAGTTCATCTCGGAACGGATTTTTGGGGTCACACTCAGGGTAAATGCAAGATGTCCATCAGCTATGAGAGCCAGAGCAGAGCTGTAGATTACCAAGTGAGAGATGGTGAGTTGGCAAGTTTTTTGTTAAACAAATTGAGCTGCAAGAGTAGATTATTGTGTCATGATTATGTAGAGCGTTTTCGATACTAAGCTTATTTAAAGGTTTCTTTGACATTCGGGTTCTATTATTAGGAGAGATTATTCTCTTTGCAAGAGACAGTAGGCTGTAATTAGTTATGCCACCCAAAAGATGTATACATTATGGTACAAATTACCTCAACTTGGTACCATAATTGGTGATGCCACATACTTATGACAATGAATCAACTCTACACCTCCATTAGAACCTGGAAGCTTATCTTGTGCAAAACCCGGTCAACAGATTGATATGAAGACCATTAAGAGTGTCGTACTTATTAGGCTTGACTCCAATGAACTTCATTTTTGAGGGGAGGCATACTAAGCGCAGTGCTCATTGCAAAACAATCAGCTATCATCATTGGGTTGCAAGCAGTAGTTGAAAGAGAGTTTACCAAGTTTCAGTTAGAATGAATCAGAACCGTTTTGATTCCATTAATGAGCTTTATCAGCTGTATCGGGTCCTTAACGAATGGCAATCGGAATCTATGAATCTGTTTTACTTGTTTTGCATTAAAAGTTCTTTATTACAACGATCACTGGTGTCATAGATAATGCTGTGCGTCCGCATTTCGGAATGCTTGATTATTCACTAACTGTTTATGAAAACCATATGAAATGAAGAATATGAAAAGAAGACTCTACGCCAGGTATGCAATCAATTCTCCCTAAATCCTAGCACCTTGCGATTAAGTTTCAAGACTATTCTGTTGGTACAAACCAAACTGGTGAGCATCTGTGAATAATATAATTCAGCTGGTTTAAGACTTACTATTCGAGTGAAGTAAAGAATTCAGACAATTGCACAACTGAACGTTTTTGTTATCGTTCCAGATATTTACACTGACCTACATGTAATGAAACAATCAAGATGCTGTCTGGAGGAAAAATGCATCATCAAAATAAGCGATCAGTATGTGTAGCCTCCTCGGGGATTCACACCAGACAGAGGAAATACTCACATTGTTCATGATTAGTCCCTTGTTGCACGCTCATTCAACGAGTCTGTGGTTCCTATCGATGTCCTGGAGCAGGTTAATGGATTCCGCAGTACGGCGGTAACATATGAAAACATACTTGTGATCTCTTTAACCCGAGATAGGAAGTCTTTCGTGAAGACTGTCAGTTTCCTACGAGATGCTTCATTCTGGGTAACACTATTTACCATCTACCCATGTTGTTCTTCTAATATACCGTTCCTTGTTTCAGAATAAAATCCTAGATTCATAAATGATTGAGGAGATCATCAACTTTCGGGAGAAATGGGAGCGCAATAAGATTTATTCTAAACCTATAAACCTTGACATATTGTAGATAGAAGGCGAGCTGGTTGGGAAAACGTCTATTGATCCAATTCAAAAGCAAACAGTGTATGCGTTCGATTAGATACAGTCAATTCTCAACCACGCGGCGAGATGATTCATGCCTCTTTCTGTGGGTCATTCCTTGTTGGTTTTGGTCCGCACTTGGCACGTACGTTGCCTCTTCTTCCGCGTGCCTTTCCGACTGGTTTGACCCGATCGCGGCGCGAGATGCGTTGATCGACAGCTCGGACGTTGTGGCACTCGGTGGATATCTTTCCCATTAGCTGCGGATTGTCTGTAGGGCTGTAATGGTCAATTCGCTCGTTTTGGGTGGCAGTAAACATTGTCTCGCGAGGCACTTCCGGTCNCGCTGCGTCTGCGCGTCCGGTCGGATGAGCCCCATTCTTGATTCGGTCGCTAACCAGGACTCTCTTTGTACTGCCTTCCATCACAATATCACAAAATATATCTGTGGCAAGCAAAAAATGTTGAAGCAGTTCACGGATGCCTGGTGCCACACTACTGAAATAATTCGATACAACTACCCTATATCTATCATCTTCAGAAATTACTTAATTACTTACTTCAGAAATTATTTGATGAATGGTTCACTTTGTTAGATGATACATGAGTTTTTAAAAACACCAATAATCTATGCTTAGTGTCACCGGCAAACGTTTCTCATATTGTGAACCTTGTTTATATTTTTGATTTGGAATTCTTGTTCTGCATTAGGATAACAAAAATATGATGGAATCGAAGGCAAAATGATGAAAAATCATCCGGATTCAACCGGTGCTTTTATAAACACAATTAGTAATCGTCCTTCCGGTTCATCCGGTGGTCATCATTAAGGTGGGCACCAACCTTATTTGCTAATAGAAACGGTTAATTGTATTGGGGATAACCACCGGAAAACCTATTTATGTGGGAGCACAGTTTTTCAGTGTACAGACCATAAACAGAGTTTGCTCGGAAATTCATATTGATCCGCATGCTGCTCAGATAGCCCATAATTTGCGGTAACACACTGATTGTCAGGACCGCTTTATCTCTAAGCAAAATGGGTGCTAGATCAGAATGCACTGGCTGCTACTTCAGTGGTTTGCCGAATGTTAGCTAAAGCCGTAGTACTACTGTGTGTAAGAAACTGTTATGGGAGGAGGTCAAACACTACAACATGAGTAAAATAGGAGCAGTTGAACGGACCAATATCTACATTTCCATAGTTTCCGGCCAACCAATCACACTCACGGTACAGCAAAAACGCTATTCAATTGAGCACATCGCATTTGCAACGAGAATGGCTTGAAAGAGAAGTTGGGCAAACGCCAATCTATTCTTACCAAGCACAGTTATCCGGGTAGCTTTATTAAGAGGATCAGTTGAATACTGATGCGGAACCCAGTACTATAATGAGTTTCCTAAGACTTGGGTTTTCATTTGTCTTCCCTTCATAGGCGGCAATACCAGCCTGGTATTCCGAGCCAAATTAAAGAGAGCAGTGAACCTCAATTATAATACTGCTAACCCAATCGTCCTATGCACAACAACGCGCATCCACACTTCACCCACAAAGTTACACCTTTCACTGTCCGCCAAATCACATGCAATATACCAGTTCGAATGTGGATACGGAGCATTGTAGTGGCAGAACAGATAGGCATTCGTGNGACGCCGACTGACCGAGTTAAATGATCAAAGGTCATTCTCCTCGAACCCATACACAAGCATCAATCACCAGTTACACCAGCACACTCGACCAGAATGAACTCATATCAATGCCATTAACCTCTACTCCTACCAAAGAAAACTGAACAACCTGCGTCATCTGTTGCTCGATGTCTGCTGATGACCAATCATGGTTCGGACTCGACATTCGATTTAGGATCACATATGCCAACACAAGTTCCCCTCTTCCCACGTTCGCGAAATAGATTGTTATTAGAAGACGAAGACCTGATCTGTGTGTGTGAACTAACTGCCACATTATCACTCCCTTGTCAGTGAGGAAGTGTGATCGTTCCTCCCCGTCATATTTGTTTGCAATTGATGAAACTTCTAACGATATAGACCGCTGTTTTGTGTCGTATCGTACCACTTAGGAGGCAATGAAATCTGCCTTGACGTAAATCGCTCAACCTAGCTCTATCGTGCTCCCTCTTCAATTTTATCTCGGGAAAGCAATGCTTAACTTGAATAATGATTCACCCTATTTAGCGTTTTTCAGTAGCTGAAATTGGCGCTCACTTTCACAGCCATTCAATGCTTTCAAGAAAAGAAGAACTTTTGGAGCATTATCAGGAAGCTCGCGCATAGAATTATTTAAGCATTAATGATCATCTACATTGGTGCCAACCACAGTACAAGCCTCCTTTCATTCCACCTCTTCATTGATCTACGCCAATCTATCCGTGTTTTGAAGCAAAATACCGAACAGCTTTTACGTTTTTCACCAAAAAGTTGGGTGACATGATATGCACCTAACATAATTCGTCCTCTTTCTGTTCCATGTTAAAATGAAGAGGGGAATAAAGTGTGTCAGCAGTTCCGAAAACTCTGCCATATTTTACCATTTTTTCAGTATCAGAGCTGTGGGATAATTTATTCTATGAATAACGTCGTGTGAGAATCCATGAAAATCACTTCGGTCTAATTGCCCCTCGATATATCGATATACCGACAGTGCGGCAATCCTCAAAGCTTTGATATGATGTTATTCGGACTCTCGAAAGCTTGATGCTAGAAAATAATAATTTGTATTTTGCCATCCAATAGTGACTTTTCAAAAATTCGTAGTTTTTATTGTAGTAACGAAAATACGGTTTTCGTTTCATATTCTGATACTCCACTCCTAATACCATTTCAGTTTAATGGTGCGATTTATAGAGAGAAAGACGGAATAGCCGTGGCCTCGCCATTAGGATCACCATTAACAGACATTTTCATGGCCAAATTAGAAAACGGAGTACTCTCAAACTCCATAGAAGAAGCCCCCTTCTACAAACGATATGTGGATCATATCATATGTGTATGCGATGCTGACAAGGATGCTAATATTCTGTTGGAGAAATTCAATGGAGCTCATCCGAAAATAGAGTTCACGCTGGAAAACGAATCCACAAATGGTCTCGCATTTCTAGACGTGTTATTGTCTCGACGATCAAATGGCTCCATTCGTAGAAGCATCCACCATAAAAAACATGGACGGAACAGTACACACACTACCATGGCTTCTTTCCATTGCAACAGAAGAGAAAGTTGATTCGTTGCTTAACCAACAGAGTTAAGAAACTTTGTTTTTCGGACTCTGTCGAGTTTGAACTGGGAAGACAACGAAATGCTTTTCTAGAGAAAGTATATCCTGAGTTATTCATTCATAAAAGCATAACATCATATCCCTCGAAGACAATATGTGGCACAGCAAATGAGAAGAGTGTCTATCCCTCTATCCCATTCAGGGAAGAAACGATCGCGAAAGTATTGAGTAGACGAATTCAATCTTCCATCAAATTCACCTACTTTACGGCTGAACCCTGCATTATATTCACGTCCAAATCGGTCCTCTTTATGCAGACTAAAGATAAATTACCCCCAGGATATGACCTCACTTTGTGTTAATCAATTCACCTGTTCCTGTGGAGCAAGTTATTTGGGTTGAACGGTGAGGAGTCTATCCGATCGCATCAAGGAGCATCACCCTGTTTGGTTGAACCAGGGATTGACAAAGACCAGGGCGACGGAAATTACGAATCAGTTGACTGAGTCTAATCACACAGTCAATGTGCTTGAGGCTTTCCGTCCTCTCTACACGCTCAAAGGTAGGTTATCCGAGGAGGTCAAGTTCAGAATTTTGTCAACTGCTGAGGCGATTGCCATCCGTCTCCACAACCCCCTTGTGGGTCCAGAAGCAGTTTGTAAGAACATTGGTCTAACCATGGCCATCCACTAACACTCTGGTGACGTAACCAACGTTTATGATTCTTATATTCGGATCTAGTGATCTGTCATTCTCAGTGCACAAACTGATTCAAATTTTGGTTCTTAGCTTCATATGTTAGTGTTAATCAGAATTCGTCATCAAGTTTATTCCTGGATGGAATTAAAATAAAGAAGGAAACGATGTTTATTGATTGCAAATTTGAAGAGATGACCTTTTATAAAATGTCTATTCAATCCAACAGAATATTTGATGAAGATTCAAATTGGCAAACAAGTTTTTCCTTTCCCTCGTGAATCCCTCTATGCAACTGGTGGAATGTTCTGTTGTCATAATTGCAATGCACATTAATACTGAGGTTGTTTGCCACTTCATCTTTTACTTTTCGGTAGCATTTTTGTAGATAAACTTCTAGCATGTGGTCAAACTCCATTTGTGGCAAACTGAAAACACAATTGCGAAAGCACCGATTTGCAGAATGGCCTGGATGATTTTATTGCATCGTTTGGCCTACTGGTGAATATTACTTCAGCGATGTCAACTAGAGCTGAGTTATTAGGTTGCGAACAGTGCATCATACCCGTTTTAGAAGTGTAAACTTCAGCTTCATAGAACTGATCAACTGAGCAACTTAGCTACTAAGCTCGGTGATCAGTATTACATTATTTCTGGTTAATAGTCTGCTCATGTGTTAGTAAATTATCTCACTAGAATGTTTATCTTATTTTGAAAAGATTGTCTCATAGCTTGGTGAGTGTTTTGTATTTGTAATGATAAGTAAGTTTACAAGACCACATCGTTAGTTCGGTTGTCCCCTTTATATCCCCCCCCTTGTGTAAACTGTTTGCCACGTATCCTGTGGTTTCGTTCGATCGACCGTCTGAACATGCGAAACTTTAAAAAGAGCCAAATGTCTGCAGTTTGTTGAATTGATATCGCTAACGCGCGATCGAGTGCGATATCCGGTCGAATGATGAATAGAGCAATTACCAGGAAGATCTCAGGTGGGTTTTTTGTTTCATGTACATGTGCGCGAAAAGTTGTTTGGACACCAAGGTCAAATACTTTCAAATCTCATGTTATGTTAACCGAAACATCTGACGATTTTTTGCTGAGCAAATAGAAGGATAAAGTTTTCAGTGTCAATGAATAAGCACTGATAGCTGGAAATGTATAAACAATTATAATTGACTGATTGTATTTGGATCTGTTCGTGAAAATAAGCATATTGTGCCAATCATATTTTTTCAGCTGTGGAACGGAGAAGAATCAATGTATCTTGAAACGGTTCAGGATGTGCTGGGGAAGTGCTGCTATAGATAACTGTCATCAACTGAAACACCGTTTTACTTAAACAAATCCTTTCTAGTCTCATTTATGGTGTTTTGCTTTCATTTCTCAAGTCTTTAAACAGAGGTAACCTCATACCCAGAAGAGCTTTTCAATCAGGTTTAACTGCACACGAACGAAAATGACAAACTTGTCAAGCAGCTGGAAATTGGTACAGATTTATTATAGATAACACACAGTAGCGACAGGTTTACACAAACTTTGATCGCGCTCCTGATAAAAAGAGCTTCCTTTGCCATCTGTTATCTGATACTGAGTCCACGGCTCCTTTCGCGGTTAAAAACCAAATCCGTCTTACAGCGCAGTTGAACAACACACCACTCAAATACTTTATTCCCCCTGAGTTTTCAACCGAACCGAGTGTGTCACACACAGTCGATTTGATGGTGAGATGCCAACATTTAAGCTCTTTTATCTACATCCATCACATCTCGGGCAGAAACTACTGAAATGTTATTTATTTTAGCACAATTATTTTCTTTTATTAATTCACATTTTAAAATAACGTATATTATGCCATTGGAGTGTAACTACACCGGAAGTCGAATCAGTACGAACATTCAAACTGTCTGGGTTTTTCGATACTGTGATTTGTCGGTGCACTTGATAGTGGTCCAATTCACATTTCTACGGTTCGAGTTTAATATTCATTCTATTCCTTCTAAACGCGCAATTGTCTATCCGTATTTATGTACGTGCATCAGTCCGAATTCCATCGACTCATTTACCCAAATTTACATTTCGTACGCTTGAGATTGTTGAGTATCTTTGAATTTATCTATGTTACGAGTGATCGTTGGGTAAAACTGATCCATTTTACTGGGTATCTTTGATGCTTGAGACAATTTCTTTAAATATTCTCCTTCATTTCCCTGTCAATTGTACACATTCGAAACAGTTTGATGATTGAGCTTTACAACACAACGTTTTCGATTTATAAATTAACGTATATGCAATACAGGAATGGAAGATGCTACCTCGGCTAGTGGTGGAACGATTGACTGTGCTACGTCTATACTCACTCTCGCATTGGAATGGATAGCTTGGTTTCTACCAGGTGGACGTGACGTTCGTATCCCAAGAAATTTTTCATACAACTAAAGGATAATCGTCATTGTTCTGTGCCATCCCACTCAAATGGTTCTGTCTGAAAGGACTTTTCTGGTTAGAGGAAGAAACCCAAGGGTGCCGGGTGGCAGACAGCTCTTGCACACATTCCTCCTGTGAAGACGACAGTTCCCTCATTGGTCCGTTCCAACAATCACTCGCTGACCTCACGGATCTGATATCTTATCACGTGCACACAAACACGTTTGTGATATGCATAAAGGAATCATGGTTAAACAACAACAGAGGATTTGTGGGGAACATACTTTGTTTCTCTAGTTCTCCACAAGGTAGAGAAAGAAGCATAAAGAAGCCGGGAGGTGGGGTAATAACACACTTTGATTCCAGTTGGTGCGGCAAGTCCGAAACGTTATATGCCTTATCTTGTTATGGTATTGACTTCCTCACTGTAGTATGTCGACCTAGGTATTCGGAACACAATTTTTACCAGTCTCTATGTTTGTCCATTTTTGCTCACAAATCGAAAACAGCTCTTTTTACAATGCATTCATTCCTTTCGTTGCCCCCCTAGTTGATGGTAATTCAATTTCAGTGGTTGTTGATTTTAACCATGGGTCAACCCAACCATTACTTTCTTTCGGCCTGAAAGATCTTTCACTAACACCCACCAGCGGAGATGTATTGAACAAAGCCGCCAATAAACATCCTGATATTTTCTCTCTCAAACTAAAGGCGCCAATCTCCACTTGTGACCACTGTCTCCTATGTCTAATCAATATATTTGAATATTTGAATCAACATAAAAATTCAGAATCTTTCAGCTGACAGACTCCTCCCACGGAATTATCTTGCCATCTCCTCGTAGTTTTCCTTTCAACAATCTTTCTGTTCTGTTGAACAATTTACCGAATTAATCAATGCCGCTTTCGATGTATGCTGTCTTATGGAAACAGTTTTTGTTCACAATGGCAGAGTATGCTTTCTACAGTTAGAAGCTGTTATAAGACAAGAAAAAAGCGCCCAAGATGCACCCAACAACCGCTGTCAAATCAAGATAAAGATAAAAAGACTGGATGCTTCAATCGCAAAGCAAGTTCTGGGGGTCGGAGATGGAGGGACAGAAGAAACGCTGAACTTACAAAACTATTGACGTGGACAGTCTCAAGGCTGCATTCATTTATCCTTCACATGATCTCCTGTCCTCATACCCCACAGATAGCCTATCTACTGCAGACCCGGTCACCCACGAGGAGGTCTATTATCTCCTTAAAACTACAAAAATCACTAGTGCAGTTGGTTCCGATGGGCTAACTTTGTCCATGCTCCAATATGCCGCTGGTTCACTCACAGAAATTTTTGTGTCCCTTATTAACAAATCCAATTACACAAGTTCAAACCCCGGATTACTGAAGACCGTTCACTACTGTTGGCATTCCTAAATCATCTTCGTATATTATTTTATCTGAACGCTTTCATCCGATGGCCATCACCTCCTCTAAACTTAAACTAGTAGAGCGCGTTGTTCTCACCCCGCCTGCAATCTGGTATGATTTTCCCAAATGACCCCCTTCAGCTTGCCTTTAAGCCAAATAAATGTAATCTGGATTCTGTCACTTAACTGATGAATTTTCCTTTCGAATCTTTAGATGTTGTATCTTACTTGATTATTTCCCCATTTCTGATTCCGTTCCACGATCTCTTCTCCGAAAGTTACAGTCATCCGTTTGCTCCACTAATTATTATCACGATTGAAAGACAAATTGGCAGGAAGGATTCAAAGAACGAAGGCAACGGATATTAGTTCAAAACCGTAAAATAATATTTTCGGAGTCCTTCAAGGTGCCCTGCTTTCTTCATACATATTTTCAATATTCATCAATGACTTACTCTCTATCCCTCCATACAAAACATTTGCATATGCCGATGGTGTGGTCTTATAACAAGTCAAGTCAAACCAATATGTTATAAAAACACTTTCTGACAGCTTAATATGAATGCCATTATGCTCGAACCAATTCAGTCTCAATTTGGAAGCTATCAAATGCTTAGAATGCGTTTTTAAACGATCTCAAATCGAGTATACTTTGGCATCCCCAGTCATCGATTACGTAACCATCAGAACACATGCCACCGAATACCTACGAGTAATGATAAAAAGCAATCTACAATGGTCCTCCCATGCGCCAGCCTGTGTTGGTAGACTGCGTCACTCATCCTTCCAGTTACACAAGCTACGACATTTTAGAGTGAAGTATGCAATTATATGTT